TGGGGCCCTCTCCACTTCGCCGTGGCACCGCCTGCCAGTCCCTGTGCATGCCATTCTCAGGCAGGGATCACCTCGGAAGGGGCCCGAATCTGCCGCCTCCTCTCCTCCGCACAGGACTCACCCATGGGTCAGGAGCACACGCAGCTCTCTCTTCCAACATCCCCTGCTCGGGCCTCTAGCCGAACCTGCATCAAGCCCAGGTTTCTGCGCTCCCGGGAAGTGCCTCTTCCGCCTGGGCTGCTCAGGCCATCTGAGCAAGGTCATTTGGTGCCTTGGTGGCATTCGGGAAACTGGCTTTGTTTGTGGTGGCATCAAGATTCCATCGTGTGACTCCTGGGCCTTGCCATCTGCTAGGTTCTTGGAGTTGGACTGTTCCCTGGTCAACACACAGGTTTCTGTGTTCCAGATGCCATGGCACCATCACCACCGTAATCCTCCCTCCCAGCAGAGCTCGGGTGAGGTGAGGAGGAGCAGGACATGAGGTATCCGGGCATCCCTTGGGCCGAGATGCTCATGTGGGCCTATCGGCTGCCTGCAAGAGACTCCCCCGCCCCTGCGCCACGATGGGCGATGAAATCTCATCCTGTGGTGAGAGGTGGGCAGCAGAGATGAGCCTGCTTCGTCTGCCTGGCCCTTGGCACAGTGGGGTCAGAGCCTTGGCTACTGTGCTGTGTCACTGTGAAAGCTAAGCAGATTGAGGGCTCTGCGCTGGCTGATGAAAAACCCAAACAAGTCTCTATTGCTTGGGGTCTTTTCCCTTGGTTTCCAATAAGTTTTTCCCCCTTAACTCATCTCTCTAGAAATGCTGGGTCGAGGTCATGGGCGGGGTGAGCAGTGGACAGGAATTCCGCAGCTGTGACCTCCCCCAGCCCTACCAGCTGGGAGCACCTGGCATGGCCTGTCATGGGCTGGTCCCTGCCCCTCGCCCCCTTGCTCCCTGCTCTCTCTCTACTGCTCTCTCCTCCTGGCTCAGGGCTCTTCAGCTCCAGGGGCCTTGGTCACGGTTCCTGGCCTGCTCCCAGCAGGCACCTCCTAGCGGGCACCTTCTTGCTTGCCTGGCTCACCTGCCAGCAGAGCAGGCGCCTTTGCTCTCTCCCTGAGACCCCACCTTTGCCATCATGGTTCTTATAATTCATTGCAGTCTACTCACATGTGGCCTGATGCTGCGTGGCTCATGACCTGGTGTTAGGGTGAGGCTAGCATCCTTGGGCCATTCAGGCCTTTTTCATGCGCTTAAGTAAGCTGAACCCACAGGATTCTGGAGCTAGAGCCACCTGTGTCAACCAGGCAGTGCCAGGACTGCCAGTGGTGACATAGTGCCCAGGTTGGGATAGGTTGGTTCAGAGTGAGGACCTTATGCTCCCCTCAACAGCCCTTAACAGAGGGAGCCCAGGTCCAGCATGACTGTCCAGGAGCGAAGGACAGGCCCTTCTGGACTGTCCTGATTCATCTGGGAGTCCTGCCTGTAGAAGGATGGAGATTCTAGGGCTTCCTGCTCTCACTAAGAGCCTTTTGCAGGTGAAGAGACATTTTAGACATGTGGTTGGTGCCAAGGGCATGCCCATGTTTTGTGGCTCCTTGTCCCCACCTGTCCTGCTGTCTGGTAGCCCTGCCAGATCTGATCTTAAGGTCACCTCCTGCCAGAGATGTTCTTTCTGGTCCAGGTGAGACTCCCAAGGAGCATTGTCCCTGGAAACTCAGAGGGACAGATGTTCAGAGCCAGTGACATGGGTGCCATCTCTTCCCACAGTTCCTCCAGCGAAGCATCTCCAGTCCCTCAAGGCCTTCTGGCGTCCTGGGGGCTGGGAAGAAAGTCACCAAGCCTGAGCCAGCTTGGAGGCCTCCTATCCAGGACTCTGATGTGACCCTGCAGTCCTGTCTCCAGCATCCAGGCTGGAAAGGGCTGCAGTGTAGACAGGTCTCAGGCTGCAGAGCAGTCTCACTGGGAAAGAGAGAATCACAGCCTCAGAGAGGGCCCTTCCCCGCCCAGCCATGTCCTCTGCAGCTCCCCTCTGCACACCCAGTTCCCGAGATGCTGCTGGGCACAGGGGCTGGCAGAGGTGGGCCCAGGAGCCACCCGAGACTGTTGGCTGCGCTGAACTCCAGGACGCCTGTGTTACCTTGGTCCTGGAAGGGCTGGAAATGGGGCTGCTGCTTCTCATAGTGACACTGTGGTGCCTCAGAAAGGCCTTTTCTGGCTTCTTCTCCCAGGACTGGGATGCGTGTATGTGTGTGCACACACACAGAGTGAGGAAGATGAATGCCCTCAGGAGAGGAGAGATGGGACCTGTACCTCGGAGTGCATGAGACAGGAGAGGGGGCACCCTCTCTTCACAGGCTGTTCTGAACTGCGTTTGACTATGGCCCCCAGCACAGCAGAGCTGAGGGTGGACAATGTCCCATCATTGTCGGCAGGGCCTAAGAGTGCAGGCCAGCAGTGCTGCCGGAGGCCCAGGCTGTGCAGTGGCCCCTTGAGATTGCGGGTGTGTGCAGCCCCAGAACACAGAGGGCCTGCTGCTTGCCACAGGCCAGGCAGGTGGGGCAGGAGGTCTGCAGGAGGTCTGCAGGAGGGAGAACCCCTTTTCCTGCAGCAGGGGTCCCGGCTCTGCCAAGGAAAAGCTCACCTACCTTTTTCTCGGTTTCAGGAACCATGCCATTTAGGGGGCTTTTGGTGGCCATCTCTGCCGGGGCCAGGGTGGAGATTCCTGTCCTGGCTTGGCAGGACCAGCCTTGTCCGGCCCACAGAGCCCGGAGCCAGCCTGGGTCCTAGTGTCTCCCTCCACCCCTTCTGGAGCCCCAGGGGGCACACGATAGGTAGGAGGTCTCGGCAGTGCTGGCTGCCACTGCAAGCCAGCAAAGCAACCCCCACTGACACCTTTCCAATGCAATGCTGAGCGCTAACAAATACTTATAGAGCACTTACTGTATACCACACTCTCACTAAGTGATTGACATGTGCCAACATGGTTAATCCTGGCAGTGATCTTATGAAGTGGATATTATTATGCCATTTTAGAGACAAGGAAACTGAGGAGTGGAGAGGTTGTGCAGCTTGCCAAGGTCACACAGCTGGAAAGTGGCAGAGCCCAGTTTACAGAGCTGTGACATCTGCCTCAGTGCTGCCACAGTGTCACCCTTAAGTGCTGTGGCTGGTGATGGGATGGTACCCGGAGGCAAAAGGAGTCTTTGTGCTCTAAGGAAAATCCACTGGGCTCCAATGAAGCTCAGAAGGCTTTGGAAGCAGCTTCAGGCCACAGCCCAGGGAGCAAGACAGTGAGCAACTTGAATCCAGTGATGGGAGGAGAATAGGCCACATCGACTTCTCAGGAGAGGGTTCGGTGCCACTCTGTCCCTCACGGTGTGCAGATACATGTGGCTCCACCATGGGGTCTGTGATGCATAGTGTGGGGGTCCTGGGGTAAAGCTTAATGAGACAGCCTTCTTGGGAGACTCTGCAGGACTCTGCAGGACTTTGTGGACTCTATGGGGAGGGTGGAAGAAGGCTCTCCCAAGCCAGTGGGACCACAAGACCCCCTTTTAGGGGAATGCCGACTGCCTGGGAAGATGTCTAGATAGGACAGAAGTAGTGAGTGGTGGTCCAGGCCCTTCCACCATCCAACTGGGGGTCCTCAGCAAGACAAAGCCCTCCCTAAGCCTCAGTTTCCCATGAAATGACTCTCCTAACTTCAGCCTAACTTCTCCAGGGGACTGTGAGAGGGGACAAGGAAATCTCTGAACCAGAGTGCTTTGCACAAGACATGAGGCACCATAGGAAGAAGTGAAGGTTTAACCTCACCTTTCTTCTGATAACAGCCGTGAATGTGCAATTTGGACAACATTCAGCAAGGACCAGTTAAAGCTCACCCTAGCCCCCTGAGGACATGAAAGAGGCCTGTGCCATGGCCCCATCAGGGTCAGATCCATCCGAGAGACAGAAGTATTGTGGCATGGAATCGGGACACACAAAATGTACAGCCCAGACCAGGAGGGTGCTAACACTCAGGGTGAAGGCCAAAGCCCTTTGAATGATGCCAGGGAGGAATGGGATTTGATCTGGGACAGATGGTGGCACTGAGATTTGAGAACATCAGCACACCAGCAAGAGCCTTCTCTAAGCCTTCTACCCAACCTTCCTGGTCCCTTGTAAGCCTAGAAGCCATGGTCCTTGGGTTCAGTGGCCTCTGGAGTGAGTGGGCAGTGGAATGAACCACTGGTGTGTACCAGCTAATTTAATTTAAACATTCATCACCACCACCATCACCATCACCACCCTGTCACTACTGCCATCAACCAACCCAACCATCACAACCACCATCATCACCATTGCAATTGCCCTATCATTATCATCACTACTACCTCCTCTACCATGAAGCCACCACAACCATAACCACTACCTCCAGCACATCTGCCATCACCACCATCGTAACTACCACCTCCTCCATCATTACTGCCGCTCCATCATCATCATCACTATCACTGCCACAACCATCACCACCAAAACCATCACCATCACCATCACCACATCTTCATGACATTTTCCATTTGCCTTTGATCACACAGAGGCAAGAGTGCAAAATCCAACCACCAGTGCCTCTCTCCTGTTAACTGTCTGTACCATCCAATATTCATCTTCATTTCTGTCTGCTCACAGTCAGAGAGACCCATCAAAGCTTGAGCATGAGGCTGACCATACGTTCTGGTCTGTCCAGAACAGTTCCAACTCAGGCCTGTTGTCCCGGCTCCATTATCCATAGCTCCCCTCTCAACCGTCCCCTGGTTTGTGTACTAAATTATGTGGTCACCCTGGTTGAGACCATGTCCAGCGTCTGATTGACCCCACGAAGCTCAGCAGCCCCAGGAGGCTAACCGGGAACTGAGCTGACTGGGTTTCATTCTGGGACTCCTACAGATGTGGACACTGGCTGGAAGGTCACACACCCCATAGTCACTGATAACTGATAATGTCTCTGCTGCCCCCCCCTTTGTCTCCCTGCTTCCAGGAAACCCCTGCGAAAAGATGAAAATGGCACCAGTGTTGCTGAGTATCCCATGAGCTCACAGAGCAACAAAGGGGTAGATGTGAGCAATGCAGTGGTGTGAGTCTACAGGCCTCGGATCTGCTGGCCAGAGGGACACCTTGGTGACACTAGTGGACATGGGAAGCTGACCCTGGGCTTGTCCAGGACTTCATTGCCTTGCAGACCTCAAGCCTTCTGAAGGAGAAACCATCCTCTTCCCAGGCCAGCCCCAGTTGGCCTATGGGCAGGGGCAGCGCAGACGCTGGGCTGAGCCCAGGTCCCCCTGCATGCAGCGCCTGGGGCAGCCTCACCTCCCAGGGCTCTCCACATCCTCCTCCTTGTCTTGTGTTTGGTCCACTGACTGTTCCCCAACTGCTGTCTAAAGCACATGCTCTGATGAAGGCAGAGGGTCTGTCTGCCTGTGGGGACAGGGAGGCACCCCCCTTTTAGCTAACAGAAGGTGAATGGGGCCACTCCCCAGCTTGAAAACCTCTCCTCCTCCAGGAAGTGGCCTGCTTCTCTGTGGATGTCCCAACAGAAGCCATCGACACAGCCATGAGACAGACGTCCCCTTTCAAAGGTGCTTCCCACACATCTGCCCATCACCCCATCTGTCACCCCTCAGTCTTCAGGGCCTGTGTCTGCCCTCCTGTTCCCACCCACACCTTGCTCATAGCTCCTGTCTGCCTGCCACGAGCCCAGCCTGAGAACCCCCGTGAGCAGCCGTGGGGGCTGGCTTACATGCAGGGTGGAATGTCATGGAAGCCTGGGCCAAGGGAGTGTGGAAGGGCCAAGGCCCCTGCAGCTCTTCTCAGACAGCTGCACACTTGAGTGCAGGAACCCTGCATTCTTGTGAGGCAGGCCCTGCCTTGTTGGGTAGAGGTCATCACTTGTGCCAAACCCACCGGGGCTCTCTGAGCTAGGACAATGCTAGGCTGGAGCCACATCTCCCGGGCCATCCCCCTGGGGCCTGGCAGTGGCACCCAGACCCTCTTCTGAAAGCCCCTAGAGGAAGGGGTTTTCTTCCTGTGTCCTGTGGGCCAGTGCTGTAGACGTGCCAAACCCTCCTGAGTGTGAGAGGTGGGGGAGGGGCAGGAACCTCCAGGCTTGTTCACCTCTGCCCTGCCCACCAGTTTCCCAGATGGCCACCCCCCAGCATGACACATCGCTAGGCCCATGGAGGCAGTGACCTGGTGAACTTACCTCCTTTGGCAAGTTAGGAGGACACTCTTGATCCTGAGGTTCCCCTCACCACCCTTACATACCTTCTCAGAAGGAACCGGGCACATTTAATGGTTACAGCCTGTGGCCTTGCAGGGATTTAGCTGGCTGGACCTCGTTTGCCTCCTACACCACCACTGTATTTCTCTGGCAGGTATTGGGGTTGTGGTGAGACCCTCAAATCCAGGTAAGACTGACAGACATGAAAGCCACTCCCTACTTGGCCAAGATATCCACTGTCCCAGTGCCCCATGCCCAGAGCTGTCTGTCACTGTCCCTTCCCCGGCCAGTGTGTGCACACGGAGGACAGGCCTGGGATATGCCCTCCCACAGAGGCTTTTGCCTTCCTTCCCCATCTCCTCCTTCAGCTTGAGGACTTGTTTGAATTTCACTTTCCTGGCACACCTTGGCATCATGGTGCTGCCAACAGCCCCTACCTGGTGAACACCTGGTGAAAGCTTAGGATGCAGAGTCAGGCGACAAGCAGGCCAGGGGAAGGGGCTCAAGGATGGGCAGGAAAGAGAAGCCGGGCAGGCCCCACCCCAGGGCACTGTGCCCTGCTACACACAGCTTCCTAGTTCCTGTTGAGGCCTCTCCCTGAGCACATACCCGGACAGGTGAGCAGGAGTCCAGCCCTAAACACACAGCACCCTGGGCTTCACAGGGGGAAAAGCTGGTGCCCTGGGCCGGTCCAGAGTGGCCAGAGGGCGCCTTTGGCTGGAAGCTGCTGGCTGAGGGGCTCTGGTGACCTAGGGCAACTCAGAAAGGCTAGGGATGGCCAAGTATCCATATGCCCACTGGGTTCCACTATCCTTGACTATGACTTAAACATAGGAAGCCCAGATATTGCAGTTAGGCTTCAGGAACCTGGCAGAGCTTCCCATCATGCTGGACCCCAAGACACCCAGGGCTCCAGTTCACATGTAAATTCACATCCATCCAGCTCGTAATGTCCCTTCTCAGCCAGTTAAGGAAAACCAAGGGAAGAGTTGCATTCTTTAAAAACAGGTTCACTTGAGAACAAAGTCCTCAAATTCAGGACTGGTGTTCAGAGGACACATCTCATGGGGCAGCAGGGAAGGCCACCAGGCTTTCACCATAGGAGACCGATGTGCACATCAAACTGCTGCAGCCTAGTGTGTGAGCTTGGAGCTTTTGTTTAAAATCAATCTGCAGCCCCTCAACCCAGACCCCTTCTCAGATTGGTCTGAGGTCAAGAATGAGATGTACAGTCCTGCTCTGTATTTTCTCAGATGTGGCTCAACTGTCTGGTAAGCGAGCCCCACTTTGGAACTCAGTGGCCTTTGGGAGCTCCCAGAGTTACCAGGTGTTCCTAAGAGGCTTCTAGGGAAGTTTTGGAAGAAAGACTAATAAGTATAAAAATATAAACATATATTATATAGTTATATATTTAAAGAAATATCTGTATATATAATTACTATACTCTCTGCATCTGTACAAAGTATGATCTCAACAGCCGAGGTAGTGTGAGACATGTAATGCATGAATGTAAATACCCCAAACTCCGCCTTCTTAGTGATGTGCCATGTGTATGGGGACGATGTCTCTTGTTCCTAGGCATTCTGTCTCAATGGACAAATACACCTGTCTATGCCACCTCGTCCACCAATGAGCCATTAATGTCAATTTTATGCTGAGACTTCTGTACAGGAGGCAGGATTGGCAGCCTTGGGGGGTGCGCTGTATGCTCCTTAGGAGGAAAGAAGCACCATGACTTTTTTATTTTCAATAAAAATATACTTAAAAGATGCTGTCCATTGTCACTTGTAGTAGGTTCAGGGTGGTAAGGGGAGGGGAGACAGGGATGGCAGAGGCTCTTCCATGAAGGTCTTGCCTGGGTAGGGCTGGGGACCTTACATGCATTCCTGCTCTATCACCCAAGGTTGGTATTTATGAGGATTTCTAAGACCAGTCCTGTCCCTCATCCCTCCTCTCTACTACCACCTTGATCCTGGAGAAAACAGAGAATAGGCTGACCAACCTTCCCAGCATGCCTGGGCCTGAGAGATTCTCATGAATCCAAGATGGTTGGCGCTAAAAGAAGGAAAAGTCCCAGGCAGTTGGAAGAAGCCAGTCACCCTCCTCTGACAAATACTCATGGGAATCCTAGGGAGCAGAAATCAGCTGGATCTCCTGGTGGGGCAAATGGAGGTGGCCTGTGTCGGTCTTCTCCTGTGTTCGTCTCTGTCTGGAAGTCCTCTTACAGCATCATGGCCTCCCCTGCACACTCAGGTAAAAACACGAACACAGGGCTCACCTGTCCCCTGGAGAAAGTGGAGCAGGAGCACTGTGGGAGCCTATTTACTTCTTCCAGCCTCACCACCAGGTAAGCCTCACCACCAGGTAGGCCTCACCACCAGGTTAAGCCTTACCAAAGCAACTGTGCTTCCCAGCACTTCTAGGGGAAGCAGATCCTCTTGAATGGGCTGGGAGGGATGTAGGCAGGGTGGGAAAACAGGTGCTCCACAGTACTGTGACCCCCATCTTCAGGACAAAGGAACAGACTGGAGAGAGATGCAGTGATCAAGGTCACGCGGATACTAGCAAACAGGAATGGGGCTGGGTTTAGCAATGGCTTCTGGCCACAACTGAAGGGACCCCATACCGGACTGTCTCCTCATGGTGGGTACTACTGACCAGATCAACCTTACCTGGGTTCCCTGCAACTTCAGAATGGGCTCTGTGACAGTTGATTGTGAGGGTGCTTCCCAGAGGTGGGGCCCAGTACCTCCCCAGCTTGTCCCAAGTCTCATAGCTTGGCAGAGGTAGGGAAGATCAGCTCAGGGCAAGCACCTGTCTGAGGGCCTGCATCCCAGGCATCAGGGCAGTGAGGGGACACGTGGAAGTTCCCGCCCAGAGCCCCAAGGCATCCTTCTCAGTATTGTCCCTCCCACCACCCTGGCCTCTGTGAGCTGCCCGCTTGGAAGGGGTGAAGAGGACCCCCACACGCACACCTGGAGCCATCAGAGCCACAGCTGCAGACCTCTCCTAGGTGGCACTTTTCTCTCCCTACCTCTCTCTGGGGCCTTTGGCCACTTGTTCCGGTTACAGGCAACCAATGGCACACTGCTCCACCGCTTGGCAACCCCATGTCGTCCTCTGTGCTCCTGCAGCCACCAGCAAGATGCGAGAGGCAGTGGGACACACAGGCCACCCTGCCTGGCACCCAGAGCCCTTGTAGAGTCGTGCCTGGCACTCATGGGTGGCAGTGGCAGGGTTGCTCTTCCTTCCTCCCTCTCAGATGCTGCACCCTATGCCCCTCTGAGCTGTGCTGCAGCACAGAAAATGGTCCTGTCCTGTCCTGTCCTGTCCTGTCCTGTCCTGTCCTGTCCTGAGAGCCCAGGCCCTGGGTCCCAGATGAGGGCAGCTCACCTTTGCACATCCACCCTACCCAGCTAGTGACCCAGCCCACTGGATCACCTGTGTCCACTTCCACCACTCCCACACCCTGTCCCGTAGCACTGAGTGCCTTCCTGCTCCCCTGCCTCTACCACACTCAGCTCTCAGAAAGAATCCGAGGAATGCCACTACATGTGGCAAGTGCCCTGACTCCATCTGCACACAAAGAGCATCCCGGGCTCCGGGCACCTCTATCTGGTAGGTCCCAGACTGCCAGGACTTTTTCTGTCCTCCCTGCTGGTGGAATGACCTACCCCAAGCCCCACCTTCTCCCTCTCCCTGAGCTCTCCTGAACAGGTGTCCCTGGGTTCCTGGCTTCAGGTCTCTATCATCGGTTTGTTCATTCAATCAGTTCCTAAATACGAAAATCTGCTGCCTGCCAGGTGTCATGCTGAGCGCAGGGCTGAGCTTCCCCCACCAAGGTCCCATGCAGAAACATCAGCGATCTTGGCTTCTCCAGTTTGGTGGGTCCTCTGCCTTGGCCTCCAATGCACACTCTAATCCCACCCCCGCCTCTCACACTTCTTCCCCATACCACCTGCCCCAGGCTTTCACCAGCTCCTCTCAACAACTCTGGTCCTGAGCTCCCTCCAGCCCACCCACTGGCTGCTGGGGTCCCATCCTTGGCTGCCCAGGGCCCTTCTGCCCTGTCTAGCCCCATCCCTCACCTGCTCCAGCCCCTACTGCCCAGCCGGCTTGCCTCCTCTCCCTCTCCTCTCCTTGGCTTACCTCTCCCTCCAGTCTCTGCATGGCCATCTCTTATCTGCCATCAGGTCCCTTTAGGGGCTGCCTCCCCCCTGAGCACACAGAACACACACCCACACATGCACAGAGCTGAGTGACACCCCCTTACCCAGGCAGCACTGACAGCTCGCAAGAGTAGTGCACCGTTTTTTGCCCTCTCCTGTGGCATTTTCCATCACATTATCTTCTGCTGTTGACCCCTGAGACCCTTTGCCAACCTCTACCCTAGGTATCCACTGGGAACCCAGGCAGTGCCCTGGGGATACAGAGGGAAACAGGATCAGGTTGGGGGTGGCAGTGGATCCGTACTATGTGCAGAGAAGGTGACAGCACTGTGGAGATGAAGGGACCCCCTTTACTTTTTGACCTCTTTCCAGAGCCCAGGAGGCAGGAGGAAAGCCTCTATTTTACAGAGAGTGGACCAAGGTCTGGAGATGTTCAGAGATTACCAAGGGGCAGAGAAGTCATAAATGGCAGAGCTGTAGCTCACTCCTAGCCCTGTGTGGCTACAAGTTCCCAGGTCTTCCAACTCAGACAGGCTCTCAGAATTCAAATGCCTACTCCATCCAGATCTCTGCCCAGTTATCTTCCCAGGCCCCGGGAAGCAGACAGGAGATGCAGACTTCCTGGACCCTGGGAGCCACATTAGGGATTCCCAGACCTGATACAGATCACTTAGTATATGACTTCTGGCAAGGCTCTTCCCCTCTTGGATCCTTGGTTTCCTCATCTGTAAAATGGAGGCAGGGACCAACCCCGGCTGTCTCCTCCCCCCCCCCCACCACCTTGTGGCCCTCTCTGAGTATCCCGAGTCATCTCTATTCTGTCATGTTGGTTTGTTCTCAACTCAGCACTTCTCATCACTAAGAGTAATTGTTGGTCTGTGTGTGTGCTTGCTGCCTTTCTCTTCCTGTTAGAATACAAGGTGCGTGAGAACAGAGGCCTCCTCCAACTTTCAGTCGCATTCATCACCAAATCTCCAAACACACCTGGCACAGGAAGTATTTGTTAAATTAAGTAATTAATAGTGGATTACAAATTTAATACAATAAGGAATATAACATTTTATTTCGTACAATTGTCAGGAGTCCCCACCTCCTTGGGTGTGTGCACTGGGTGGGGGTGGAGGGGTAGAAACACTGAACTCTGCAGGGAGATCGTGTTTATCCCTTTCTCATTTCACTGGTGTCCTTTGGATGATTCAGTTTCCTGTGGACAAATACTCTGTCTTCCGGTATCTTCCCTGGAACTGCTGCCCTCTAGGAAGCACCTATGTGTATCCATTGTGTCTGGAACAGGGAAGCTGGTCTCAGCCACACGGTATGTTTGGGGTCCTCTCAGGTCTTTGCTGCAGAAGAGCTGTCATGGGATGTTTCTTGGATAAGTGACCGTGGGCTGCGCGTGTGCCCTTCTGGCCTTCTAGTGTCACTGGGTAAGCCCCACTGCTCCCACTGCAAATGTCCAGCTGTGGCAGTCTTGTCCTCTTGACTGTAGCCTCTGCCCAATTTCCTGTTTCTCAGCACCAGACCCCTGGGGACTTCCAGGCTCTGCACAAGGATGTGGACACACTTCTGGAAGTTTATGCGACACCATCTCCCAGGACTCCCAGGTTTATTTCCACCTGTGCACTTGTACCATGTCCTCAAGAGGGAAAATTCAGACATGCCCATCTGGCCTCCCAGCCCTACCCTACCCTTCTCCCTTTTTGTTTTGCCAACAATCCACGAGGGTCCAAAAGAAGTGGGCTCTCTGCTCCCTCATCTTGTGTGACCAGAACTTTCCTAGCCTCCTCCTGCCCGGCACTGTCCATGGAACAGACTAGGGCACATGATTTCCTGGAGAAAAATAAAAAAACATATCCATTTATTATTCCCAGAATATCATCCCCATCACAGACACAATGATGTGCTCACACCAAGTGAAGTCCAAACGCTGACAGAATGCGCCATATGGAGGAGGATTTCCCAGTTGCTCATTCAGGCTCAGAAGCGCTGGGGGAGACTTGAATCACCACATGAAAACGCAGCAGCATGGGAACACCACCCTGAAAAGAGCAGGAGCCAAATGCCCATGGCAAGCTGTGATTTCATTTCAGCAAAACACCAGCTGTTGCATGGCATCATGGTTTTAGCTAAATGGCTGCTTGGATGCCAGGCACTCACAGCATAGCCAGGCACATAGGGCAGGCGACGCTCTGAGAAAGCTCACCCTGTTCTTACTGGTGCTGAACCCGTCAGGCACTCCTTCCTTTAGAGGACAAGGAAGTGTCACCTCCATTTGCAGTGGATGGAACTGAGACTCAGTGAGATTAAGCACCTTGCCCGGGATCAGAGAGCAGAGCTGCATGAAAGTCCAGAACTCCACCCCTGGGCCCCTCTGCAGCAGAAGCTGCCCACAGCCTGCTGTCTCCCCAGCCCCTCCACTCACACCCCTCCCTGGGCAGTGTGGTTGTCCTCACCTGGAGCGTGCTTCTGTCCTGCATGCTTGATTACTTGCTGATTCCTTTCTTTTCCAAGTGGCCACTTCAGGAAGCAGAAATCAGGGTGTCTGCCAGGCAGCCCTGAGAGGCTCCCTTCTCCACTCCCCCACAGGAGCCTGTCTGGGT